CCACGACACAAATGGTAGCCATACCATAAAATAAAATTTTCAATGTCAAACTATTTATCACAGAAAAACCCAGTTCTGACTCAAAATAAAAATACAAAAAAAAACAAGACCATCAACAACCCCCAACTATAAGTCAGGGTTTATGAGATTAATCAGTATTCTGCTACAACCCAGAATTTTGAGGGAACACAAAAAAGTAAAAGTAGGAGGTATTGAGATTCTTAGAATCTTACTATTCATTTCATTTTTACCTTTGAAGCACACTTATCAAATCTTTCTTCTTCATGTGCAGCTTAATCTACAGTTGTAACAAACAATAATGACTCATAATGTGAACATATATTATAGGGTTAAATAGGGAAGAAAGGGTAAATTAGTTTCCAAAAAATTTCAGGCAGTAAACATGCATTGACCAAGACGAAAAAATAAAAACTCACTTTACTTAACAGTCAATACTACGGGGATTTGATTTAAATTTCAGGAAGAAATTAACTCATTATACAGACTGCTGAACAAAACTTTTTTTTAAAGGGAGCAGATCAAAGCGAAAAGTAAGGAATTAAAAAATGAAAAAAAAAAAAAAAAGAAACTAAAATGTAATCACAGAATAGTTAAGTGGGACAAGTTTTAGCCAGCACATGACAAATAAACCATGAAAAGGGAAATAAGAGGCTAACTAGTAGCCAAAATAAAAGTTATGAGATTTCGATCAAAAGCAGATAGCGTTGACACTTAACTCTCTCACAAAGAGATATACAGATTTGTTTGTTTGTTTGAGCAAAGAGAAGCATACCGACAAAATAATGGTCATTTAGTCCTGGGAAAAAGCAAGACAGACAGACAGAAAAAACAGAGGAAAGTAAAGAAGGAAGATCTACCGGATGCTCCCTCCAACCAACCACAAAGATACAAACAAAATGGCTAAATAAAGAGGGGGGGGGGGTGTTAATACTTGTGTACAATCACAATTCGTCACCAGAATCATGTACTATTGTAACCATCAAAAATGGGGTTTCGAGCTACGGCGATTTAAAGTTTTGCTCAACTGTTCAAATCCTGTTGTGAATGAAGGGAACATAATATCTCATTGATTTTTGGTTCGTATAGTATATAAAGACTTTATGCCATATTTGCTGTCACTGCTTAGAAAATCAATTTAATTGCTTACTTAGCGAAAAAAAGATATCATTTTTGTCACTTACTTTAGTACGTGAATGCAAAGTGTGAAGCTGTACAGTCCCTCACACTACACAATATGGCGCTTACAATAGTTTAAAAAAACAAACAAAAAACTATAAAGTTACAGTTATGCTATTTTATTTTGAAAGAAAAAAGCATGGAAAGGCATTTTACCGGTATTTACTGGTGCTTGAGTTTCACAAATGGATGAATCAGTAATATGAAAAGCCTTGCAACTTCAAAAATAAGTTGCATCGGCAAAAGGAGCAAGTTTATGGTTTATGTGCATCACTTTGCAAGTTTACGAGAGAAGGAGGGAGAGGGAGAGGGAGAGGGAGAGAGAGAGAGAGAGAGAGAGAGAGAGAGAGAGAGAGAGAGAGAGAGAGATTTTAAATTTTAGTAGGGTTTTACGGCACCCACAACTGTATAAGGTCATATGAGCACCAAGTGGTGGATGTCAACAGAGAAGTCCAAACGGGGACTCAGGCTTTCTCTGCTCACCTCTCTAGCCTCAACAGCACAAAGTCTGCTTCGACTATCAAGGCACCCCGGAAATAGCAGTTCCCAAGAGAGTGGCAAGTACAGGAAAAATGATGATAGCAACAAGAAAAGAAAAAGCAGCAGTTCCCCCTACGTTTTTCCTGCACAGTATGAGCATGACATTGATAAGCCAGCCCATTTACAATTCTACTGTGCATTAGAAAATGTCAACATCCCCCCTTTAGGAATAGACTAAAGACACTAAAATGTAATCACAGAATGGTGATGTATAGTTAAGTGGAACACGTTTTAGCCAGCACATGACAAATAAACCATGAAATGGGAAATAAGAGGCTAACTAGTAGCACTGCCCCAGGGAGAGGGGGGGGGGGGGGCAGAGACAGTGCTTCCATCAGCTGAAGCTGAAAAGTAAAGAAAATTCTGCCGTTTATATTTTTGGTTTTCTACCCCCCCCCCCCCCCCCCCCAGCAGGGTACAGGGACAGCATCCCGGGGGAGGTTCAGGGGGCGAAGTCCAGAAGAAATTGAAATTTAGTGCTGTCAGAGGGTTGAAAATGGCATTTGGGAGCCTGTTTGAAGAGATTGCCTGCAAACCATAACAATTTTTTCACCAACATTTCATCTTGTTTCTTCACCAAGATCTAGATTTAGAAATTAGAAATCTGGATCTAGATAATCTAATAATTTCCATTGATGGCAATGTTTAAAAGCAGGTTCCCCTTCCATTGCAACTAGATCTATAATTCAATTAATTTGTCATCGCACCATTGATAGAAGGCAAACCTGGGAATAATGAATAGATATGTACCTTCACAACACAGTTACCCGGCGTATACCCTAATTCCTAATATTCCTTAAATTTCACGCCTGTATGTCGGATGTCACAACCTCGGAACACCACTTTGAATTGTTCTTGACTTTAGTAGTTTTAGGCAGGTTTTAGCATAAATTTATTTCATCGCGGCCCTTATCGCGTCATGTGCCGTAGAATCTTCGTATTGATCATTTCTCTAGATCTAAACAAACTTGTAAAAAAAAGTCTCTTTCCGACAGTAATTTTCAGTCTAAGATCCCAAGTCAATTTACTTGATCAACGCGCAGATTTTCCATCCCCGGCAACAATCCGAGGATAGATAGACAGACGGAATAAGTGAATGATAGAAAGGAGGAAATTGGCACAAAATGTTCGTCAGATTTTGATCAATCCACAGCTAAAAATGTACTGCCGACAAGCCCGCAATGAATGCATGGGAGCCTAGCGGAATAATGGCCGATTGCAGGAAAAGCGCAATCTGGTAGGTTTCTTTTACCGTAAATATCCGTAACTTATACTAGTACTAGACAATACGAAGGTGAGTGCACATCTTTTGCTATGGAATTTCGGTAGTCCAACGCTGTCGCAGCTTCTTTTTTTTTTACGGAGGGAGTTGATAGAGATGGAGGAACAAGTACGGAACTGGCAGAAAGTACGGATTTACGTAAAAATACGGAAGAGTGGTAGCACTGCGAGAGAGAGAGAGAGAGAGAGAGAGAGAGAGAGAGAGAGAGAGAGAGAGAGAGAGAGAGAGAGAGAGAGGCCGGGAAGGGGGGATGAGAGAGAGAGACGGGGGAGGGGAAGGCGGAGACAGGGGAAAGGGAAAGAGAGAGAGACAGAGAGAGAGAGAGAGAGAGAGAGAGAGAGAGAGAGAGAGAGAGAGAGAGAGAGAGAGAGAGAGAGAGAGAGAGAGAGAGAGAGAAAGTTAACGTGCAATGGTCTTGAAAATTTTTAATTCAATGCAGCAATCACGTAGATTAACAGAGAGACTCTTGTTACTTACATCAGTACGTGACTTAACAATGTGAGCATACACATTTACAAACGATGGAAGAGACGGTCCACGTACCGTCCCTTGCATTAGTACGTGATTCTGAATTATATTCAAGAGGGTGCTTACAATACCTCACAAACCAAGTGTATCTCGGTGACTATTAAAGGTATCGAATCCAGATTTTGACAGAATTTAGAATGTAAAAATTCTAATCGGGTTGTATTACAGACCCGATTTCGGGTGACATGTCAGTTACGATAGTACGTGATCCGGGCGACGAATTGCATCTCAAATTTTGTCGACATACGATGCAGAAGCTAATGAGTCTGTTACAAACAATTTTGCTTTAACAACATAAGACACTCGTTCCAGTAAAAACAAAGCAAATCATTCTATACCAACAAGAACTTTGAACAATTTAAAGCTCAACTGTCACCGTCGGCAGTGCTTCCACCAGCTGATTCTGAAAAGTAAGGAAAATTCTGCAGGGGGTCTAGCAGGGTCCAGGGACAGCGTCCCGGTGGGAGTTCAGGGGGCGAAGCCCCCAAAGAAATTGAAATTTAGTGCTTTTAGACGGTTGAAAATGGTATTTTGGAGCCTGTTTGAAGATATTGCCTTCAGCCCATAACATTTATTTTTTCACCAATATTTTGTCTTGTTTGATTACTTCACCAATATATCTTTCCATTGCTGGTAATGTTTAAAAGCAGGTTCCCCTTTCATTGCTACTACAATTCAATTAATTTGTCGTTGCACCATTGATAGAAGGCAAACCTGGGAATAATGAGTAGATGTACCTTCAAATAGTTGCGCAGTGTACACCCAAATTTTTTCTAAATTTTCATGTCTGATTGTTGCCTGTCACAACCTCGGAACACCACTTTGAATTATTCTTGATTTTACCTATGGCAGGATCGGGCGGATCGCTCGACTCGACTGCCTGAAACTGAAAACAAACACGTTTGTTTTTGAGGCGACCGAGTCGGGCGATCAGAGCGATCAGCCGATCTCATCCGTAGTGGGCACGCCCGTATCAGCATATTTCTTTCATCGCGGCCCTTATATTGTGTTCACGTACCGTAGAACCTTCGCATTGATAATTTATCTAGATCTAGACAAATTTGCGAAAAAAGCTTCTTTCTGACAGTAATTTTCTGTCTAAGATCACAAGTCAATTTACTTGATCAACGTGCAGATTTTCCAGCCGTGGCAACAATCTGAAGATAGACAGAAGGAATGAGTGAATGATAGAAAGGAGGAAATTGGTACAAAAGGTTTGCCAGATTTTGATCTACCTGCAGGTAAAAAATGTACCACCGACCAACCCGCTATGAACGCATGGGACTGGGACATAGCGGTATAATGGCCGATTGCAGGAAATGTGTAATTTGGCAGGTTTCAATAATTTTAACTTGTTGTCGAGAGAATTGCCGTAAATATCCGCAACTTATACAAGACGATACGAAGGCGAGTACGGAATTTCAGCAGTTGTGATCTGTCGCAGTTTTTTTTACGGAGGGAGTTGATAATGATGGAGGGACAAGTACGAAACTGGCAGAAAGTACGGATTTCCGTAAAAATACAGAAGAGTGGAAGCACTGTGTCAGGTGAAACAATTCATGCAATCACAAGAACAAATTAATAAAAAGTGAAAATGGACAAGAAATGTCCAAGATACACATTTCAAAATTCTAATTTTAAAAGCTTCAAAAGATATCCAGATTAAAAATGCAAACAGTTTCTTTAAAAAAACAACAACAGGAATTATCCGAGACGGCTCACAACCTCAAAGTCAAGACATGGAAGAAATATGCAGACAATACCATTCCCGTAAGTCCACTGGTGTTCGCAGCCCCGTTTCCACTGTCATGATTGCTGCTATGGGAAACCATCTTGTAAGTAACATTCAGGATTTCCGAGGCTTTCTTCCTGGCCACAGCTTCATTAGGGTTGCCATAGGTTGGATCAAACCATAAGTAAAAGCAGTCTTGTTCATTGTCAGCTACTCTGAAGGAGCCACCCATGAGGGTCTGGCAAAAGTCCGAAGAGTTTGAATACACCTGATGGAATGGCCTGCATGATGACCCCTGAGGGCAGGTATTGATGCCTGAGAGGAAGAGGGAAATGACAAACTTTTAGTTCCAAGTTTTAAGCATATCAAAAACAAAGTAAATACTGGCCATTGCCGTGTAATGACATGAGAGCGATTTCCAAGTGAGGACGTTACTTTACCAAGATCATAGTGTATCTCCATGTGTCTTCTGGGGTGTTGTACCCCACTCAGAAAACTGAGATCCCAAAAAAACTAATTAAAAGTGGAACTTTTAGCAAAAAACAACCAATATACAACTAAAGACAGTGAAAACAAATCAGTGTGCTATTGGGAGAGAAAAATATAAAGGATAAAAATAAGAATTCATTCCCCTTTCAATTTGGTAAGGGGAATAACATTTCAAAAAGTGTTTAACCAAAAACAGTAGAACTGTATCTCTGTCAAGGGACACATCAAGTTCAAATACGAGGGACGTCCAGAAAGTAAGTGCCGTTTTAGAATGACTATAAAAGAAATAATTTTCCCAATCAAAACAATTTATTTTTTAATACCTCATACAATGGAACTCGGATTCAACGAGGTCGCCGGGCCTGACCCAAAATCTCATTGAATCCGAGTGTTCGTTATAGCAAACACGAGGTTTTGTGTAGAGAATTACAGGCACCGAGCAAGTAATGTATAAAGGGAAGTCACAAGTTGTGCCTGAAATGCCTGCATATTACGAGCTGTGTAAAAAAACCACCCGATTCGTTCAAATGCACACGCCTGAGTCATCTCGATTGTTTACCAAAAAGTTGTGTTGCTGTGTAGAGCCTAGCATACGGCAATTTTTTATTCCATAGACCGGCGCACAATTCATTATGTAGATCTACGTCATGACTAGCTTATCATTGCAATAGCGATAAGTTGCCGAGGGGGAAAAAAAGACTTTGTGACGCGTTTGTATCTGCGACGTTCAATGCCACCCCCCCCCCCCAATCCCCAACACGCACACACGTGCAGGCTGCCCATCCAACCGCGACACACGCCAGAGTAGACACGTGCGTGTGCCAACAACGCATGTGTTGGTATGAAAAAAGGCCGCTGATTTGACGCATGCAATCGGTTAAGTGAATGACGGTTCATGATGCAGGTGCAGTGGATCGTTTGCGGGAATAGATAAAGTTTGTTCTGGGAGAAAAATTAGCGAAGCCACGTCTGCGGGGGCTGTTCACCCTGGGAGCGACCTCATTGAATCCGAGCTCGTTGATTTAAGTGCTCGTTGAATCCGGGTTATTTTTATTGATTTTAAAGAAGAAAAAACCCAGAAACTATCACATCTCGTTGAATCCGAAGTTCTGGTTGAATCCGAGTTCCACTGTATATATGATGACTACTTCTCCACGTAGTCGCCAGAACTCTTGAGGCATTTGTCGTAGCGTGGGACGAGCTTCTGAATGCCCTCATCGTAGAAAGCTGCCACCTGCGATATCAGCCAATGTCGAGTCTCTCCTGTGAGATCAGCGTCTGAGTCAGTCCTGCTCAGCCAAAAACTTTTTCAAATGAAGGAACAGATGAAAATCACTTGGAGCCAGGTCTGGGCTGTATGATGGGTACTTCAACTATTCCCCATCCAAAGGAGGCGATCAGGTTTTGGGTCTGTGCAGACTTCTGAGGAGTTCCACTGCCATGAAGCAGAACAATGCCGTCGTTAAGCATTCCGCATTTTTTGTTTTGAATCGCTCTATTCAGTTTTTTAAGTGTGTTGCAATACACATTAGAGTTAATTGTCATCCCATTTTCCTAAAATTCTACAAAAAGAACCCCTTGCCTGTCCCAAAACACTGTACACATGACTTTTTTCCTGACACGGCCTGCTTGAACTTTTTTGACTGGCATGAATCCGCATGCTTCCACTGCATCGACTGCTGCTATAACTCGGGCGTGGAGAGTTGCAACCAGGTTTCATCCCTCTTCACAATATGAGAAAGAAAGTCATCTCCTTCGTCATTGTGTAACGTGTCAGGAATGTCAATGCGCTGGCAGCCTGTTGATTCTTAAGCGCTTGTGCTAGCTGCTTGGGCACCCAGCGTGAGCACACCTTTCGATAACCCAAATGGTGACAATTTCATGCAGAAGAGACCTTGAAATCTCAGGAAAGTTTGAAAAGAGTGAGGAAAGGGTAAAACACCTGTCGTAGTGAATCATCAGTCTTAAAAAGGTAAAGATCTGTAATCTTATTTTGCGCGCCGGTGCTGTGGATGGTCAAGTACAGCTGCAACGGAAGCTCCCTGGGAGGAGGGAGGGCAGAGGCAGCCGTACAGGTCCTTTTACCAGTAGGTTTGCTCAGCTTGGTGGCCGCACCCGCTTCCACGAGCCGAGACTTTTTAATTTCGTTGGAAGCTGGGAAAGGGTCATTTTTAAAAAGAGTCTCCATATGTGATTTGGAGTTGATTCAAATCTGGGGCTCCCTGCTCGCAACTGAGCCCAACAAGGGGACACATCACTCGGATAACCAGAACTGTGCCAGGGTTACCCCGGAGTTCTCCACGAGAGTGCATAAGGCCCTCCAGTCAAAACTAACCCAATTGAGTGGCATGGGATGTGCCACCCTCCCGTCTAAGAGGAAAACCTGGGTCAAAGACGTGTGCTGGCAAGAGACAGTCCGCAACCTGATCTCATCTCAACCACCAGGTACCCAGTTTCCCTCCGCATAGGTCCCACCCATGGATGCCAGTGTTTGAACAGCCCCATTCCTGCAAACTGACTTTCGGAATTCTTACAATTCCTGCAAACCTATTACGCCCTTCCCGCTTCTAAAACCATCCCTTTCAAAATAGAAAGTTTAATAGAAACAAACAAAATTAATTTGTTGTGCTTCTGAACTAATAAGGAAGGAGAGAAAAATGTCAATAAATACTTTTCAAAAGAATCATGGAATAAAATAAAAGACAAAAGAAAAGGGGGAAAATAAGCTACTCACAAAATCTCTTCAGGTGATGTGCAGTATAATGAGAGAGGTGGGATGTTGTATGATATGAATGCTTCACACTAGGATCCAATTCACCAACTTCAACTATATAAAATAAACACATGCCTAAGTGTCCTATCGCTATAAAGTTTTCCCTACCATTTATAAACTAAGTGTCCTATCACCATGGGTCTCAATTCAGAATTTTTTAAAAGGAGGAACTTTCCGGGTGATCGCGACAGAAGCCCATTTTCGTGAAACAATTATTATTATAACTGTTGAACTCTAGAATGCAGCAATAAAAAACATTAATTTATCAAAGCAAGGTTATTTCACACCAATTTGAGGGTTAGGAAGATAATTTTAAGTAAGAGTCGCTTACCAAATATTTACAATCCTGATCATGAACAGAAAGTGGTGGCGCACTGGGGTCTTGTGTGACTTATTATTTATATTTTCCATTCATCATAATATTCGCCTGCATATATATAAACTATATAAAAATTAATCTAGTTTTGAGCCTGAGAAAAGGCCTAGAACCAGAATATCGACGGTCATGAACCAGTCTGGGCGTCACGATTCATATCATATATAATAAATGTGAAAGACAAAAATTAAAGCTCAAACTCAAAGTAGAGTAAAAACTTGAATAGCTCAAGTAGACCTATTCAGTGTGAGAGGTGTAAGAACTGAGGGAGGGCAACATGCAGTGACCCTGAAAATCTGCAAATCTTCTACAGAAAGCTAAAATATAGAGATATAATATAAGTACTGTCACCCATCCAATGAAACGCGAACACTTATGCCCTTAAGTAAGTTCAATAACACGCTTACAAGTTATGACGGTTCCCGATTTCACACAAGGCCCCCCAACGTGCATTTTACTTTGCAGAGAGCTATAGTAGTAATCAAAATTTTAAAGATTAAAAATGGGCTTCCAAATTCAATTTTTTTGTCCTCTGGTGTAGCGTCCAGCCCTCCCCCCATCCTCGAGTGTATCTTTTAGAAAAAAAATCAACAATCTCCCTCCACTCCGGAGTCCTGTACTTCGCAGCGATCAAAACGCGGGCATGTTCACAGACAGACAAGACGCTTGTATAACTTTCTTTTTTTGTTTTTTGACCCCTCAAGAGACAGCACAGTGACAAATTATATAGATTTATTTTCATGGCGACACCATTTTTGTAATGCAGAACCTGCATGTTACAAATTTTGCGTTATCAGACTGTTACTGACAAATTTCTGGGTGGTAAAGAAAGCGAAATTAGATCTTGATTTTCCGGTCGAGCCTCGACGTCACATACAATTCCGCTTGCCGTCATAGCCGCCTGTTTGCGCGAAATGTACTCTCAGACCGGGAAAAGCCGAATTAATATCACAATCGCGACTGGCAAAAATGAACTTAGAGACGTTATGGGATTTAGTTTTCAAATATTCGAGATCTTTTATATGTTTATTCCCGGGTCTCTGCAATATTTTCATATTCCCAGGGCCTGACTGTCACCCTGCTCCCAGGAAATCTCTTGTTGATTGGCCCGCTGTCGCAGTAGAGGAGTTTAGCAGAGGAAATGGCGGTAGCGGAAATCTGCTAAATAGCGGAATATTACAGTATCTGTAATGGAGTTTGTTGTGTATTTGTTGATTCCAAATTTGGGACCAGGAGGATGTGATGTGTTCTTTTACTTTCGGTTTCATGTCAGA